ACTGAGCCACAGTGCCAGCCCCACATGGTAGCATTTCTAAGCACAAGAAGACTGATATGCCTGGTAGAGAAAAATACATGTTTGATAAGCTTCATTCAGCCTTGACTTAAAGTGTTTTACCATAAGTTCAATATCAGTAAATCAGCAATGCATACTAAGTAAAATGTCTTTAAATAGAAGTACACATAAAAGGAGTTATGTGTTGATTGGTTGATGAGAATAATAGACTGGCATGAACGAAATCTGTATTTCCCTTAGGAATTATGATTTCGAATTTGCCAACTCAGCATCCACTGCAATTTTATAGAACATAACTACAGCAAATAGTGAGAATCAAATGCTTTCAGGGCAGACTGGATTTTGGGAAACAGCCAAAATCAATGGCTTAATTTTATAATAGTTGATTAATGCTATAGAACATACTGGCTCATTTTTATGTATTTTAATACTTGTATTTGTCAGAATCATAGTTAAATCTCCATAGTTGCAGTAGCTTAATTATACCTTGCAGGATGCAACTTACTGTAAAGATAATTCATAATTGAAATTTGGTACTAATTTAAATGAAACAATTTTAGAGTTGTAAACATTTGGAAAGCTAATCAGACTTGCTAGATAATCATTTTGTTGCATTCTTGGCTAAGAGTTGCTAAGGGACCAGTGAAACAACATCTTTCTTCCCTCACTTCTGTGCGAACAACCTTTTTTATCTTGTACCACTTGTCTTGCTCTGTTTTTTTTTTTTCTTAAAAATTTATTTATTTACTTAGTTATTTTAAAGGCAGAGTGACAGAGATCTTCCAACCACTGTCACTCCCCACATCCCCAAATGCCCAGGCAAGGCCAGATCAAGCCAGAGGTAGAAGCTAGGAACTGAATCCACACACATTAGCAGAAAGCTGGATCATAAGTGAAGAAGCTGGGGCTCGAACCAGGACTCTGACATAATATATTGGCATTCTAAGCAGAGGCTTAACCCACTGTGCCACAACACCTTTTGTCTTGCTGTTAGGAGCTGTTGATTTCAGTTTGGGGACAGACACTCCCTTCTTTCTGATCAGCCATTTAAAATGCCCTCTCTGGCCATATATGAGAAGAGAAACTATAGAAAAAGAGGGCAGTGAAAAATCACATAAATTCCTAGTTTTCTAGTTTTTTCTTTTTTAAAAAATATATTTATTTATTTATTTATTTATTTATTTGAAAGAGTTACACACAGAGAGAAGGAGAGGCAGAGAGAGAGAGAGAGAGAGAGGTCTTCCATCCACTGGTTCACTCTCCCAACTGGCTGCAGTGGTTGGAGCTGTGCTGATCCAAAGCCAGGAGCCAGGAGCTTCTTCTGGGTCTCCCACGTGGATGCAGGGGCCCAAGGATCTGGGCCATCTTCTACTGATTTCCCAGGCCATAGCAGAGAGCTGGATCAGAAGTGGAGCAGCCAAGACTCGAACTGGTGCCCATATTGGATGCCAGCACTGCAGGCGGTAGCCTTACCTGCTACGCCACAGCGCAGGCCCTTAGTGTTTTATTTTCAACATTATGAAAGTCTATATCAACTGAATGTGTGTAAATAGAGCCATTCCCACTACTTTAAATGTAAAGTATTGTTAAGAAGAAATTCTTATCTTTTGTAGATGAAAAATGAAATACTTTAAAGATTTATTTGAAAGAGAGAGAGGGGGAGAAGGGAGAGAGAAAGACCTTTTAATCACTGGTTCACTCCCCAAATGGCTACAAAGGCCAGGGCTGGTCAAGGCTAGCGCCAGGAGCCTGGAACTCCATCTGGTTCTCCCACTTGGATGACAGGAGCCCAGTTACTTGGGCCATCTTCTACTACCTTCCCAGATGCATTATATTATCTAGGAGCTGGATCTGAAACAAAGCAGCTAAGACTCCAAAAAGCACTCTTGATAGCAGAGATATGGGATGTATCACAAGTAGTGGCTTAACTTTCTGCCCATAACACTGACTCTGTTATACTGTATTTTTTTTGGAAGTTTTATTCATTGTGATTAAGTTTTGGACTCCTGGAGTGTGAATGACTGGTGCTGCTGCTTCTCATGTGTTTGGTTTTACTTTCATTGTTACTTTTTTTTTTTAAAGATTTATTTATTTATTGAAAAGGCAGTTACAGAGAGGCAGAGGCAGGAGAGAGAGAGTGAGAGAGATGGAGAGGAGAAACAAATACACAGATGGAGAGACGTCTTCCATTTGCTGGTTTACTCCCTAAATGGCTGCAATGGTCGGAGCTGGGTGGATCCAAAGCCAGGAGCCAGGAGCTTCTTCCAGGTCTCCCACATGGGTGCAGGGGCCCAAGGACTTGGGCCATCTTCCACTGCTGTCCCAGGCCATGGCAGAAAGCTGGATTGGAAGTGGAGCCGCCGGGACTCCAACCAGCACCCATATGGGATGCCGGCACTGCAGATGGAAGCTTTACTCGCTGTGCCACGGTGCTGACTTCCTATTATACTATTTTATAAGTGAAAATTAACTTCTCTTTAGAGTTATAAAGACTTTATTTCCCTAAGTGCGCATATGGGAAATGTGTATATATGATGTGATAAGTTCATATGCTGGGATTAATGAAAAATTGCCTGATAGCACTGGTAATTAGAAGGAACCACTAGATTTGCATTATCTAGTATAGTAGCCACTAGCCATGGGAGGCTGTTAAGTTCCTGAAATGTGGCTGAATTGAGATGTTGTGTAAGCGTAAAATACACACTGAATTTCAAAGACTTAATACCAAAAGAAATGTAAAGTATCTCATTCATAATTTGTATATTGATTACATGTTGTAATGACATCTTGGGTTTATTAGATTAAATAAAATACATTACTAAAATTTATTTTACATGTTTCTTCTTACTTATTAAAAAATTTGTATTTAGAAAACTATAACTTAATATGTGGCTTGCATTTGTAGCTTGCTGTACATTTCTGTTGGACAGCACTGCCCTAGATTATGTGATTCTTCAACATAAGTGTTATAATCATTCAGTTGATCAAGACCTATTTAAAATAATCTAGAAATTCTATGATTTCTTATGGTTATCTAATGCAATGTTGAAAATTAGTATAAAGAAGGCTACTTTAAATGATTTCAAAGCACCAGGAAAGTATCTTAGCTCACTGTAGTTTCAATAGTAAGTTTTTTTAAAAAGGCATATTTATTTATTTGAAAGGGTTGCACAGAGAGAGAGAGAGAGAGACAGAGACAGAGAGATCTTCCATCCCCTGGTTCACTCTGCAGATGGCCACAATGGCCAGTGCTGGGCCAGACCAAAGCCAGGAACTTAATCTAGGTCTCCCACCTGGGTGCGGAGGCCCAAATACTTAGGCCATCTTCCACTGCTTTCCCAGGTCATTAGCTGGGAGATGAATCATAAGTGGAGCAGCTGGGTCTCAAATCAGCGCCCACATGGGATATGGGTACTGCAGGTGGAGGCTTAACCCACTGCACTGCAGCACTGACTCCTAGGATACATTTTATATTTCACAACAAATCAGTTCTGCACTTCGGAAAAGGGAAATAATTTTTTAATATAAAATATTTCTGATTCCATAGTATCTGCAGATAACTCTAGTAATTTTTATAAGCTTCTTAAAGCAATTTTATTTTACCTTATTTTTTAAAAGCCTGTAATTTAAATTTTCTGAATTTCATTTTAAATCTTTTAAAAAAACAGTAAATCAATAAAATAGTGTGTATATTCTGTTGTACTTCTTTGTTCAGGGTAAGTATAATAAAAATGGCCACAATGGCCAGGGCTGGTCCAGGCTGAAGCTTGGAGCCTGGAACTCCATCTGGGTCTCCCATGTGGGTGATAAAGATCCAAATACCTGGGCCATCATCAGCTGCCTATCAAGCACATTCAGCAGGGACCTGGATCAGAAGCCCAGAGTAGCTGTAATCTACACTCATGGAATGCCAGCGTTGCAAGCAGTAGCTTAACCCGTCGTTTAGGTGTTCTTATGTGACACACAACTGTATTAGAATCAAAGAGGTCATTAAAAGTTTCTTATCAGCACATTTACTTTGCTGAAAGCATAATTAGCCTGTACCTTTTTGAAAGTGTGGTTCTGGGGGCTGGTACTGTGACGTAGTGACGTAGTGGGCTAAGCCTCTGCCTGTAGCGCCAGTATCCCATATGGATGCTGGTTTGTGTCCCAGCTGCTCCTCTTCCAATCCAGCTCTCTGCTATGGCCTGGGAAAGCAGTAGAAGATGGCACTCGCATGGGATACCCAGAAGTTCCTGGTTCCTGGCTTCAGATCTGCCCAGTGTTAGCTGTTCTGCCCATTTGGGGAGTGAACCAGCAGATGGAAGACCGTTCTGTCTCTCATTCTGTCTGTAACTCTGCTTCTCAAATAAATTAATAAAATCTTAAAAAAAAAAAAAAAAGGCAAGATACTGAGATTTGCGCCTTCTAGCCAAAATAACCACCCACCTCAGTGTGGAACTTTTGGTATGATTTTTGAAGTAGAACTGAAGAGGGATGCTTCCCTGCCCATCCTGAATAAAGTATAGCCCATCACCATCAATCTCTTTAAAGCACTTAAATTGTCCTGTATATTTATTAACTTGTCTTCCCCTGTTGGAATATGAATTGACAGACAGCAAGAATATTGTCTGTTTAGCTTATTGCACCTGAAAGAGTGTGACTCATGATACACTCTCAATAAATATTTGCCCAATTATTGAGATTTCTTTTTCTTGAGAAATGTGCACTGTGAGAACAACCATCCTTTAAAACAGTTTATTTAACCCATGTTAATGCTATAAAATGAGCACTCAATTGGTATTGGCTACTTGACTCCAGATACAATGAGTCCAAACTATAAAATTTCCTAAAAAATGATAATTATAGTTAAAGGGTTTAATGTCTTAAAGACACTTAAGTTTATATTTCTGTCTTGTAATCTAGATGGGTAAGAAGTGAATCTCTTGAAATTTCTCTTTTCTCCCTTGAAGTTGCATTTGTAACCATGACATAATTTATAGGTACTATTACTACTACACTCAAAGTCTGAAGACCTCCCCAAGAGTGAGAATTCAGAGTCTTGAGTTCCTAACTTACATCAAACATTTGCTGTACAGATATCTATGGTAAGGATGCCTCTTGGGGCTTGAGGGTTTTTAATGAAACTATAACATGTAAAGGCAAGATATATTCCATTGTTAGATGGCTAACAGTTTAATTTTATGTACTCATACAATCTTTTAAAAAATTTTTTTTATTTAAAAGAGAGAGAGAGGTCTTCCATCCATTGGTTCACTCCCCAAATGGCCACAATGGCTGGGGCTGGGCCAGGCAGAAGCCAGGAGCCAGAAGCTTCTTCTTGGTCTCCCATGTGAGCGCAGGGGTCCAAGGACTTGGGTCATCTCCTACTGCTTTCCCAGGCTTTAGCAGGGAGCTGGATTGGAATTGGAGCATCGAGGAATTGAACTGGTGCCTGTATGGGATGCCAGCATCACAGGGGGAGGCTTAACCTGTCACGCCACAGGACCAGCCCCTAGATATAAAACAGGCCAAATATTAGAAGAGATACTGCCTAGTACTCATTAATTTTTGGTTAATACTGGAAGCATATTACTGTTAAAGCTTCCTAGCACACTATTAGGTTGTAGCTGTGAAAGACTCTTAGAAAAATCTAGTCACTTGTTTATGAGGGGTGTGTGTATATTTACAGATAATATATATGTATATATTATGTAAGTGAGGAAACATGTGTTTTATAAGCTGTAACTGCATACAATAGGTTTTTTTCTAACACTGTGAGATCAGACAAATTCAAACATAAAGATCTGAAAAGAAGAAGTGGGCAAGGAGCATGATCTTGGAAGATGCTTGAGACTTTGGTGGTGAATCTGTTAGTTTTGAAATGTTTGATGTCAAGTAAGAATTCTTAAGTAGAAGGAAACTGCCAGTAGACCTCTAAGTGGTAGCAAAATCATATTTATAGCTTAAAATAATGAAAATTATTTATATGTATATGTCATAATATAAATTTATGTGCTTTCATATGTATTATTTGATTCTCAGCAATAATATTTTGAGTTAGGAATGGAGTAAAATTAAATGATTTACCAAAATTCCTCGCCTGTTAACTAGCAGAACTGAAATGAGAAATAAAGCATTCAAATTCTTAAGTCTTTATTCTCTGCCTTTTTTTTTTTTTTTAAAGATTTACTTGATTTATTTGAAAGGCAGAGTTACAGAAAGAGGTAGAGACAGAGAGAGGTCTTCCATCCTCTGGTTCACTCTACAATGGCTGTAACAACCAGGGCTGGGTTAGCCTGAAGCCAGTAACTTAGAGCTTCTTCAGGGTCTTCCACATGGGTGCAGAGGCCAAGCACTTGGGCCGTCCTCCGCTGCTTTCCCAGGCACATTAGCAGGGAGCTGGATCGAAAGTAGAGCGCCGGAACTCCGGGTTCTAGTCCCGGTTGCTCCTCTTCCAGGCCAGCTCTCTGCTGTGGCCCGGGAGTGTAGTAGAGGATGGCCCAAGTGCTTGGACCCTGCACCCGCATGGGAGACCAGGAGAAGCACCTGGCTCCTGCCAACGGATCAGCGTGGTGCACCGGCCGCAGCACACTGGCCGCAGCGGCCATTGCGGGGTGAACCAATGGAAAAGGAAGACCTTTCTCTCCGTCTCTCTCTCACTGTCCATTCTGCCTGTCAAGAAAACAAAACAAAACAAAAACAAAACAAAACAAAACAAAACAAAAAAACAGAAAGTAGAGCAGAGGCCAGCACTGTGGGTAAGGCCGCCATCTGCAGTGCCGGCATCCCATGCGGGCGCCAGTTCAAGTCCTGGCTGCTCCACTTCTGATCCAGCTCTTTCTGCTGTGACCTGGAAAGGCAGTGGAAGATGGTCCAAGCCTTTGAGCCCTCCACCCACATGGAAGACCTGGAAGAGGCTCCTGGCTCCTGGCTCCTGGCTTCAGATCAGCGTAGCTCTGGCTATTGTGGCCAGTTTGGGAGTGAACTAGCAGATGGAAGACCTCTCTCTCTGCCTCTCCTCTCTCTGTGTAACTCTGACTTTCAAATAAGTAAAAAAAAATCTTAAATAAAAAAAAGAAAGAAAATAGAGCAGCCAGGACTCAAAACTCTTTAACCCTCTTTGCCACAGCTCTGGCCCCAAGTCTTTATTCTTTAATTTATTCTTTAGACATTTGTAGCCCCTTTATGCTAGTCCTTTAAGAGGAATGGAAGATTCAATAATAAATAATAGTTTCACCTATCATCTTTCAAGTAATTCAGTATTACTGAGATATGTGAAGTGTCAACAAATTAAGTCTGGGAAGATCTTCTGATTCCAAAATCAAAGATACACAGTTTAAAAATATGAAGATTGAATTGGAAATGCAATGAATGGAACCTATCTGGATTTTTAATGATTTTAGTTTTTAAAAAGATAAATAAGGAGCAAACATTAACTGGAATATTTGGGTAGTGCCACTTGGACAGCTGTGTGTGTGTGTGTGTGTGTGTGTGTTAGCTTTAGTCACTCTTAGGAAATACCAGAGGGAACCTATATATGAAGAAAGGTGGTTTGTTTAGCTAATAGTTTTGGAGGCTGAAAGTCTAAATAGCGTAGCCTAAGTTCTGTTAGGGGCCTTCATGGTGGAAGGTGGGAGCGCATGCAGAAGGAAGTGATCATATAGTAAATTAGCAGAAAGCAGAGAGGTGAGTGGGCCAGGCTCAGGCTGCTTCTTTTATTTTTAAAGATTTATTTATTTTATTTGAAAGGCACAGGTACAGAGAGAGAGGGAGAAACAGGGAGAGAGAGCTTCTATCTGCTGGTTCACTCCCCAAATGGCCACCATGGCAAGGGCTGGGCCAGGCCAAAGCCAGGAGTTCCTTTGTCTTCCGTGTGGGTGCAGGTGCTCAAGCACTTGGGACATCTTCTGCTGCTTTCCCAGCACATTAGCAGGGAACTGGAGAGGCCAGGAATGAAACCGGTGCCCATTTTGGATCATTATACCACAATGCAGGTCCCATAATTTTCTAATATGAATCATTATGTAAGAAATCTCAGGATTAAATGTAACCCATTTGAGATTTAACATTGGCAGAAACAAAACAAAACAAAAAACCTTTTTTTAGACTTACTTATTTGAAAGAGAGAGAGGGAGAAACAGAGGGTCTTCCATTCCCTGGTTTACTTTCCAGATGACAGTGGCAGCCAGGGCTGGGCCAGGCTGAAACCAGGAGCCAAGAGCTTCATCCAGGTCTCTCACATGGTTGGTGGGGGCCCAAGCACTTGGGCCATCTTCCTCTGCTTTTCCCAGGCCATTCACAGGGAGCTGGATCAGAAGTGGAGCAGCTGGGACACAATCCAGTTCTTGTATGGGATGCTGGTGTTGCAGGCAGTAGTTTAACCTGCTATACCACAACACCAGCCCCAGTAGAAAAATTATAAAGAAATGATTATAAAGAAATGATTATAAAATAAAGTCATACTCTGTAAAAATAAATTCTTTACATTTGTTATTAAAACATAGTATCCCAAATAGGAAAGCTTGATTAAAGTTGTTGAAACAATATAAATATTATTACACCTTTTACTTAATTCTGGCCCATGTCTCTCTAAAATAGAATGACACATTTCCACTCAGTATATTATTAAGCACAAAAACTTTGTTGCACTAACTTTTGGTAAAATAATAAGTTTTCAGGAGTGGTTGGAAACATTTAAATCATTTCTATAAAATACATTGTAACTTGCCATCAGAGAGAATATCCCGACTCTACCATGAACACTCGACCTTATAAATTCTAAGTATTGAGAAGAATCTGATTCTTTGTAATTTTCTTTTAATAAAGAATTGTGTTTTCCTGAAATCTCACCAATGTTTAAGCAAAGTAAAAATTTCTAAATGCAAACACTAATTTTATATATCTTTGTTAAAATTATTATAATGACCTTTAATTTAAGAAGGAAGATGTCAGTGACTGAATCTCATTACTTTTTGTGTTTTTCAGATTTTCTGCTACACATAGTGAGGAGGGTACTTCCAAAAAATTCATGGAAAAAAGGGAATTAAAACAAAAGTTTTTTGGTGCAAAAAGATTTTGAAATCCAGGCATAGTTGTTTTTTATAATACAAATTTTCCATCCATTTTTTGAAGTACTGTTGTACACATAAGATTTACATGTGATTTCTGAATAGTTTCCAACTATTACTATGGAGATTTTTTTGGTTTATATTTCTACTTTTAAAAATACGTTTATTAAATAAGCTTTGATCACAGCTCTTCTTTGCTCCATTTTCCCTTAAGGCTGCCAGTACTGGCCCCTTTACATACTCTTCCTATTTTTGTTGTGATAATTATTTACAAGGGATGACATTTGCTCCCCCACAAAAAAATTACTACTCTCACCTCATACAAACTTGGATGACCAAAATTCAGTGTAAGGTGATTGTGTAATGGATTATCAACATAGTAGAGGAAACATCTCAGTTTGAAAAAGTGAAGGTAAGAGTAAAATATCTCCAGTGCACTGTGTATGTTTAATAATATATCTATGGATCAGCTGATTGTGTTTGTAGTGAGAAGACATGTATATATAATTATTTTTGTCTTTTATAAGTTCTAAGGATAACTTTCTAGCTGTAGCATTTACAGGGCTTTAAAATCATATTTAATAGTTTTTGATAACTTTTTGCCAAATATTTGAAAATATTATGTGAAACGTCTAGACTTTGGGTTCTAGAATCATTTCATAGTCAAATCTTGATAATGTTTCTAACTCTATAAATGACTGAATCAGATAAGTATCATTTTTCTCCCCTCCCAGCATTAACCACCAGAACAATCTCAGGTTTTTCATAGACAGTTCTTAGAAGGTAATTCTATAATTAGGTGGGTTTTTTGTTTTGTTTTTTTACTCTAGATGCTAATCTTTGCACTGGATTCCAATTTGACAATATGCCTTTTTAAAGTAGAAATCTTAGAGTGACTTTGCAATATTAGCATTTTTTTCTCTAAGATTTTTGGATTTGAAAAATATGTGTTAATACTTGAGCATCCTTGGTAGAACTGAAAAAGTAGCTAAATAGCTGCTGAATCTCTGTAACCCACAAGTAGGCTAGCTAAATGTTAGAAATTTCTAACACCAAGGTATTTTTAAAGTAGAGAATTTTGAGAAGTAGAAAATCATAGCTGTCAAGACACACAAAGATGAACATTCAGAAAGAATTGTTGAGTCATCTTTGCTTGATATAGAGAGTAGGCGTTCCCATTTTTTTAAAAGATTAACACATCATCATCATCCTTTCATTATATTCTAAACATAATATGTACATTTTCTTTTTCTCATAAAAGAGCTGTTTAAGATTACAAATTCTTCAGAAATTTAAGTACAGGATAGAACTTTGTGCAATTCTTTTGACCTTTTATTGTTAATCCATCTTGCCAATATGATTAGAAGTGGGAACATTTCTGAAAAAATGAGAAACTATATAGGAGGTAAAAGATGAGTTATATAAATTGAAATAATGGCTCATAATTATACAAAATATGTCATACAACAAAAGGCAGGCATCAAGAGGGTATTTAAATGCTATGATCTAAACTTGATTATTAAAAAAAACCCTGAACTTTAGCAAATGACCATAAATACTCATAGAAAAAAGGATTAGAAGGAAATTTAACAGGGATTACCTAAAATGGTATGATAGGGAGAATTTAATTTTGTTCTTTTTTTCCATGTTTTCTAAAATCTCCAACAATAAGTGTATATTAATAATTAGGAAACATGTGTTTTTAAAAGAAAAAATACTTATATTACTGCCCCTTAAATAGCATACTTAGATTTTTAAGTTGATCCAGCTAAGGTCTTAAAAGGAAACTGAGCATGTACAATCTGTAACTTGATACTTTTCTCCTAGTTTTCCTGCAGCACAAAAATTCTTTAAATAGTGACCCTAGGAGTGGGGGCCTCATTCTGTTTTAGTTGAAGTAAGTAAATTCAGTTATTAAACTTTCACAAATAAATACTAGTATGGTAGAACTGTTAACTCATGCACAGTATGAAAATCTAGTTAAAATCATTGGCTAATGTCGTATGTAAGTCCATTATTTTAAAATACTGCTCTTGAATTTTATGATAGCCTTTTTACAGCATGAAATTGGCATGATAACTTCCTGGCATTTCTAATTGATAGACCTCAGGAATTTTGAAAATTATGCAAATTGTTTGAAATTTTTAATTTAAACATTTAGCACTGTATATTTTATAATATTAAAAAACTTGAAATTGAATTTAAAATACCTAAGCTAAGTGCAGGAGTGCTTTCATTTTTATAATACTTTACCTTATTTTAACGTGGGATGCTTAATGGCTATTTCATTTTTGCTGTTTTTACACCTAGAATAGAATAAATAAATATGTAGTTATGACATTCTGCATTGAAATACTGTGTTTTTAAAATCCACTTGGCCTCTTAGATAGGAAACAAAAAACGATAGAGCCAGAAGGAAAATGAATAGTTAATCGTGGAGGAGGAGAAAACATAGCTCAGTACTTTGACTAGAGGCAGCTGGGAAAGTGACGTCCTGTAGCATTTGCTGTTCTAGAAAGTACAGAGACACGTAGTGAAAATGGGAGGATCTAGAAGGAGGCCGGCTCCCGTGTAGTGTATATTTATCTGTAAGTGAGCTGTTGGGGAAGGAATTAAATACAGAGACGCTGTCTGCTTGCTGGCTTAAGACAGCTAGCTCCATTGCTGATTTGCTTTAACTTTTAAAATACCCAGCTGGGTTTATTTTTCTTAGAATCATTGTATTGCTAAGCCTGGGGACGCTGTTTTCTTTTACAAAGGGAAATCTAAGTTCATTTCAAGGCATTCGAAATGGGGAAAGACTATTATTGCATTTTGGGAATTGAAAAAGGAGCTTCAGATGAAGATATTAAAAAGGCTTACCGAAAACAAGCCCTCAAATTTCATCCGGACAAGAACAAATCTCCTCAGGCAGAGGAAAAATTTAAAGAGGTCGCAGAAGCTTATGAAGTGTTGAGTGATCCTAAAAAGAGAGAAATATATGATCAGTATGGGGAGGAAGGTAAGTATTCTGTGTATATCTTGCAGTCTCTTCAGCTCTCTTGCTCTTATGCGCTCGCTCTCTCTGTCTCCCTGTGTTTATTTTTTTGCTTTCTCTCTGAGGCTTCTGATTATTATTAAATTGGATTCTCAGACATATCAAAAGTAGGAAGATAAATAATGGATAAAAACCAGATTTCAACCCCGATCATATGAATGAGTATTACATAGCTATGAATGAAATGTTCTTGCTTGCCTTTATTAAAAATTTTAGCCTTTTGTATTGTACATATTCTACTATTAGTCTTATGGTGTTCACATTGTACATTTTAAAAGAAACTGTAAATTCTCATACCCTTTAATGATTTGTGTCAAAAGTCTTATGCAACCTGTTTTGTTTTCTAGTGAATTTTGTGCCGTAACCAATAGTCTTTAGTCATTTGACATCTTAAGATTGGCAGGTAAATTTCAGGAAGCTTATATTTTATTCATAAAAACAAAAGGAAGTTTTTAGCCTTTCTTACAGCAAGGCTAGCTTAGACTGAACAAGACAGAGTTGTCTCTCCCAGAAGCAGAAGGCGCAGGCATTTAGCTTCTAGTTGTTTTTGGCATTCTGCCTGGAGAGGAAAGAATTTTCCTGATGTCATAAAATACCAGAACAAGTTTTTAGCTTAATTGTAAACAATAATTGTGTGCCAAGAAAATGAAATCTCAAAAATACAATTTTTGACCTAAAATGGCCACCTAGTTAGAACAATTATTGATTTTCTTTTATCTAACAGTTTCTTATGAAATTTTACTATCTAGGTATAGAGGAAAAGTATGACAACTTTCCTTTTCCTCTGCTGCCATACTTTTGTTTCTTGCATTGTGAGATCAGAAACGAGGGAACACAGTAAATAGGAACAATTTAAGATTATCTTTTTACCATCTTGGATTTTAAATTAATTTTGTTCACCATCTCCATATAAATATGGAGATGACTATTTTAAATATGACTATTTTAAATATGACTATTTAAAATTGCTAATGAACAAAAACAAAAAAATTTAATTTCCACAGGTCCTGGGATTTCGAACTTTTAAAACCAGAACTAAAATATTTTATTAGTTTTTCCCACAAAATATATTTTAAATCATGGTACTTATGAAAACTTTTTTGTTATCTCTTTGCTTCCTTTATTATATTTAGTGTCTAATTTTCATAATTAGAAATATATCCTTAAAATATAGTCAAGCAGTGACTGTTTTAAATTAAACAAATTAAATATAGCCAAGCAGGTGATTAAATATAGAGGGTTTTTCCTTCTTGTTTCGTTCCTCTTTTTGGTCTGTGATTTGCCAAAAATTGAAATTTATGCTGCTGGTTTTGGGGTGGTGAGTACCTGTAGTCAGGTTCTTACAACTAAATATCAAAAAGGGCAAACAGTGGGCATTTCAATCTTCCAGGTTCCCTATAGCCATGCTACTGGAAGTACCACGATTTGATTTCCTTTCAAAAACTAGGCAGTACCATGACTTGGTTCATGTGAAATACTCCTGTTAAATGTATGACTCTTTTTGAAGGAATTATCTTATAATTTTATAAAGAAATTCACAATCATGCAGCACTATAAATTCCCATAAAAAGCACGTATCCACTGCTTTAAGTCTAAGATAGTTGGCTGCATCTCATGGACTGCACAAATTTATCTGTGACTAAGCCATAGGAGTCAGGGTTTATTAAGGATATTTGTCTTCAAAATTTTCTAGTCATTAAATGGTACATTTTTCTTGAGTTAACAGTACCTTTTAATAATGCTTTTCTTGATTCCCCCTCTTGTCTGATTATTACTTATCGTTACTAGTGAATGAATTTTTGAAAACTAAACCAGGATCATCTATATACCCTTAGTTGCTTTTTGTTCTTGATGCAGATAAGCAATAAGAGGAGGATACGTTTTTAAAACATTCAAATGTATTTTTCAGAAATATCACTCTCTAGTTTACTTGAAAATATGTCAATAAAAGTTAGTTGGCTTTTTTTTTTTTTTTTTTAGAATTACTCTTCCTTCACGGAAGAGTATTATATTTATTTGCCTTGTGTTAAGACTATCTCATTCATTCTTTAAAAAATCCAGGGCAGGCATTTAACCTAGTGGTTAAAACACCAGTTAATATAACCATGTCCCACATAGTGACCTGGGTTTGATACCTAGCTCTGACTCTTGACTCCAGCTTCTTGCTGATGCAGACCCTGAGAGGCAAAGATGTTGGCTCAGGTAATTAGGTGACCTGGATTGAGCTCTTGGCTCCTGGCTTCAGTAGGCCCAACCCTGGTGGTTGTAGGTATTTGGGGAGTGAACCTGCAGATGGGAGCGCTTTCTCTCTGTCTAGCCTCTCAAATAATTTAAAAAAAAAATCCTTTTATGTACACTGTGAAAATGTGGAAAATGTTTTTTTTCTCCTTGCCTTTCATTGATCTGTTTTTTCCTGTTGGCCTCGTTCCATAGGTTTCTCCAGAAGTGGCAAAACACTGAAATTTAGGAGTGAAGATAATTTACCTAACACTTTTTCTTTTTCCTTAGAATCATTACATTCTTAGAGCTAGAGCAATGGAAACAAGGAAACATGAACTGAGGATTATGAGTTGAATTGCTAAATTTATATGTTTAGGAATTAAGAAACCCATTTGTTTGTGTTCTGAAAATGTCTAATGGCCAAAATTAAAACTCTTTGTATAAAAAGAGTTAGATAATAATAGAGATGCTTTGGATGTGTTATATGACCCAACAGTTCCACTCCTAGGAATCAAAAGAAATGAAAACATGAAGTTTGTGGAGAAATTAAATTAAAAGATAATTTTATTTTGGAGCACACAAAAAAATTGAAATCCACACAGAGATCTTTCATAATATGTATTTCCCACAAACTGTTTAAAGACCTTTCCCATATGTATGATATGTCTACACAAAGACTGAATATTCATAGCAGGATTATTTGTAATGACCTCAAACTGAAAACAATCCAAAAATGAAAGGGTAACAAAAAGTATAGACATCCAGTGGGATATTATTTAGCAAAATTAAAAGGGAAACACATTATAACTTGGAGAAACCACGGTAGCATGCTAAGTGAAAGAATTTGGATGTAAAAGACTACATATTGTATGCTTACATTTATATGAAATGTTTGAGAAGAGCAAATCTATAGAAAAAAAAGCAGATGTGTCTTACCTAGGACTGGGGTTTGGAGCAGGGATTAGCTACAAATAGGAACTGGAGAACTCTTTGAAATGATGGAAATGTTCTATAACTGGGTTGTGTTGATTGTACAATTCTACAAGTTCACTAAAGTCTGTGTATTTACAGTGGGTTGCTTTTGTGGTGTTTTTTAATAAATATATTTTTAAAAACAAAGATTTTTTCCCATAATTGAATCACTTAAAGACAAAAAATATAGAACTACAAAATTTAAAATTGGATTCTGAACCACCTCCCTCAAAAAGTTTTAGATTTAATTCTGGGTGGTTCAATGGATATAAACAGAAATTTGTATTAAAAGATTTTTTTAAGAAAGATTTTGATAACATATACTTAAAAATTATTTATTCTAGTTTGCTAACATTTCTTTTTCTTTAGGCTTGTCTTATTTATTGCCTATAGTTTATTTAATAACTTACTTCAAATACTGAAGTTTATATTATAAATTTGTTTATATGATAGAATTTGTTTTTAGTATATTAATTCCTATACTAGTTTGCTTATTCTGTTCTTTATATAATTTATTTATTGTGTGTTCTAAAAATATGTAAGTAAATTGTATTTTATGAAGTGAAACAATTTAAAGATTTTCATTTTTCTCTAAGTTTCTGAAGTGTTACTATAAATCTAGATTTTTTACATATTAGATTTATTACTTAAAGTAAGAGTTGTTAAAGTACTATTATTTTCTTCTTTTAAATCCTAATTCTCTAGTGTTCTTCTTTTGATAAACTTTTACTTAGCTTGACTAGTGGGAGTCATTGTTATAAATAGATTTAACAACGCATTTTTGTTTTTGGATTGCAAATTGGTTGGTTGGCTGTTTTTTAAATAATAGCAATCCTGCTAAAGCATAGGCAGTTGTTGATTCTAGAGTACATTCTTTGATTACACAAAGTGATGGTGGTGTCTAGAAAACATTTTGGAAAGCAGAGGGAACCTTGTTACACATTTAAATTTTCCATTAGCAGTCTAAATGTACATGAGTAAGAATTAACTATGTAAGTTGATGACATGCCTGTTAAAATTCAAGTGATAGGTAATGCAAATGATATCTACATAGTGACAAAAATTTTGGTAGGATTTTTCTCAGTCAATCGAGTAATTTTATTCTTCATCTGAGCTACGTAATTAACTATTCAGTGTCTAGGAAATCCTCAAAGATACATTGGAGGTTTTTTTGTGTGCTGTGATAATAAGTCACCTTAGACTGTGTGTGAAGCTTCTCAGGGACTCTGTAATCCTGACTCAGTTACCATTTTTGGCAGAGAAGGGAAAGGGTTTTAAAGAAAAGCCAAACTCATGCTGTAATAACTGAAAATGTTACTCTTTCTTTTCATGAATCTTATGAGCCAAAAGCGTTTAGATTTTTGTCTTGTATGAGTTAGATTGGGCAAGCTAGTTTACCCAGTTTACTTAACTCTCAGTTAAATTATTATGCTCTGAAATTTATAGGATGGAGGATAAAATGATTGAAGTAATTTAAGCATTGATTTAGTTACCTTGGTGATGACCTTGAGTTATATCCATGTTCTACTGTTAAAAAAAAAAAAGTCTGTCACTAGCTTTTGATATTTGCAGTTATAATTGTTCTAGTAAAATTTAGGAAGAGAGATTTGTGTGAGCTGTATATTCAAACTGTTTATCCTGCTTTTACTTGTCATTCAGTTCCTACAAGGGACTTTCTAACTGCTATTTGGATGTATCATTCAATACATACTTTGATAATTTTCAGATTGTTAGATCTCTCTAGATTTCTATTCATGAAGGTAAAAATTTAGGCTTCTGTAGACATTCTGTTAGAGAAAGTAGAGTACATACACCCCTTTTAATGGAAGAAGCCAAATGAATAAGACATACACAATACCAAGTCTCTTTGAAAGCAAGCAGAATGTTCCCAGTGGGATTTAAAATTGTTAAATCTCACATAGTGTGTTTTTGTGATTTTATTTGATAATGCTTTTGTTTCTTCTGCCATGTCTGTACTGATACTTGAGACCTTTTTTTTTTTAGGTTTGATTTAGGAGGACTTTAGTTCAGTCCCTTCATTTGATAAACATAAATGCCTATCATTTTCAGCCCTCTATGCATGAGCAATACAAATATAAATAAGCTATACTTCCTGACTTCATATTACTCATTGCTTGGGTACTTTAGAAGCTCCCGGTTTAATCTCTTGACTTTTTAAATTTTATAATTTTTAGATTCTTTTCCAGTTTGTTTACTTGGTTAGGAATGCCCGTAAGACTCACTCAGAAACTTTGCTGATACTGTAATGATAGAAATCCTTGTCAGTACTGACCCCTTAAAAATTACTGTATTGGTTTTCTGTGAGTTTTAATAGAATCTTTCTTTGGCACATGGTGGAAAATGCTATTTCAAATATGTAATCTTTTGTGAGCTGCATGTTACTTAGATGAGCCTTTGAGCAAAGGGTCAAAGGGTCATTATATTGCTGTCTGAAGTGGGTTATCCACAATAGACAGAAATAACCAGGCCTTATGTGTCAAGAGGGCTTACAGCTCTTGATTTCAGTTTTCTTTTTATATGGTTTGAAATTAATGCTATGTGCCTGGATAAAAAATTTTATCTAGAATAGGAATAACAATTTTAGTATCTAAAAAAATTTTTTATCTCTGCCCTCATTAGAATTTTCCCTTTCTGCCACAGTAAGAGTTCCATTTTAATTCTTGAACAGTGAAAGATGATGGAAATAAAACTAGTTATTATGAATATGATATTTTATATTATTAGTTATACTTGCTAATTATAATTATATTTAAAGATTTAGATGCTGCATTTTTGTATTGATTACTGAATACCTTTCAACTAATGTCTTTTTTTAAGATTTATTTATTTATTTGAAAGGCAGAGTTACACAGAGAGAGAAGGAGAGTCAGAGAGAGAGAGAGAGAGAGAGAGAGAGAGAGAGAGGTCTTCCATCCACTGGTTCACTCCTCAGTTGGCCACAGTGGCCGCGAAGACAGGAGCCAGGAGCTTTTTCTGGGTCTCCCACATGGGTGCAGGGGCCCAAGGGCTTGAACCATCTTCTACTGCTTTCCCAGGCCACAGCAGGGAGCTGGATCGGAAGTGGAGCAGCCAGGACTTGAACTGGCGCCCATATGGGATGCCGACACTGCAGGTGGCTGCTTTACCCGCTACACCACAGCACTGGCCCCTCAACTTATGTCTTTTAAAAACAAATTTATTGGGGCTGGCGCAGTGGCGCAGGGGGTTAAAGCCCTGGCCTGGAGCTCCGGCATCCCATATGGACGCTGGTTCTAGTCCTGGCTGCTCCACTTCTGATCAAACTCTCTGCTATGGCCTGGGAAAGCAGTAGAAGATGGCCCAAGTCCTTGGGCCCCTGCACTTGTGTGGGGGACCTGGAGGAAGCTCCTGGCTCCTGGCTTTGTATCGGCGCAGCTCCGGCCATTGTGGCCAATTGGGGAGTGACCCGCGGATGGAAGACTTCTCTCTCTGTCTCTACCTCTCTCTGTAACTCTTTCAAATAAATAAAATGAATCTTTAAAAAAAATTTGTCTACTTCAGTATGCCAAACCAATAGCTTATGAAATGAGGCATTCTCTATTTTATTTTACTTTTTTCTTATTTAACTGTGAATCAAAGAAATAAGTTCTTTTTTATTTTATTTTTTAAAAATATTTTATTTATTTATTTTGAGAGGCAGAGTTACAGACAGAGAAAGGGAGAGACAGAGAGAGAGAGGTCTTCCATCTGCTGGCTCACTCCCCAAATGGCTACAACAACCGGAGCTGGGCTGATCCAAAGCCAGGAGCCAGGAGCCTGCTCTGGGTCTCCCGTGAGGGTGCAGGAGCCCAAGCATTTGGGCCATTCTCCATTGCCTTCCCAGGCCATAGCAGAGAGCTGGGTCAGAAAGGAGCAGCCAGGACTCAAACCAGCGCCCATATGGGATGCTAGAATCACTGGCGGAGGCTTTAGCCTACTGTGCCACAGCATCATCCCCCAGAAATAAGTTCTTAAATGTTAATATTTCAAGAAATAATTTGAAAGCTATAAATTTAACTTAGGATGGAAGTCTTCAAAGGTGATAACAGCTATTCTGTGCTTAGTTATAATAACATCTTTGGCCAGTGTTACTAAATTGCAGCCTAAGTTGGACAGAGTTTGTTAGTTATACAGATTCTGAATGTTTATCTTGCAAGAATTACAAACTTTGTTCTAATCATGCTTATTTCTTCCCTTAGGGTTGAAAGGAGGCGCAGGAGGTACTGATGGACAAGGAGGTACCTTCCGGTACACGTTTCATGGCGATCCACATGCCACATTTGCTGCATTTTTCGGAGGTTCCAATCCCTTTGAAATTTTCTTTGGCAGACGGATGGGTGGTGGTAGAGATTCTGAAGAAATGGAAATAGATGGAGATCCTTTCAGTGCCTTTGGATTCAGCATGAATGGTTACCCAAGAGACAGGAATTCTGTGGGGCCATCCCGCCTCAAACAAGATCCTCCGGTTATTCATGAACTCAGAGTATCACTTGAAGAAATATATAGTGGTTGTACCAAACGGATGAAGATTTCTCGGAAAAGGTTGAACCCTGATGGAAGGAGTTACAGATCTGAGGACAAAATTCTCACCATTGAGATTAAAAAAGGGTGGAAAGAAGGCACCAAAATTACTTTTCCAAGGGAAGGAGATGAAACACCAAATAGTATTCCAGCAGATATTGTTTTCATTATTAAAGACAAAGATCACCCAAAATTTAAAAGAGATGGATCAAATATAATTTATAATGCTAAAATTAGTTTACGGGAGGTAAGTTAATAGTATCTAGGATTCTGAAACCAAGCAGAATTATGCAACTGATTGATCTTAGGGAATTTATGTAAATAATAGCTAACATTTATTCAATGCTTGCTATATATATGTATATGTATTTTTTAAAAAAGATTGATTTACTTATTTGAAAGGCAGAGGGACAGGAGAACACACACACACACACACATACACACAGTGAGGGAGAGAGAGAGAGAATGAGAGATAAATTCTATCCTCTGGTCCATGCCCCAAATGCCCTTAACAGCTGGGTCTGGGCAAGGCTGAAGCCAGAAGCCAGAAGCCAGAAACTCCATTTGGATCTCCTACATGGGTGGCAGGGACTTAAGTGTCTGAGCCATTATCTGCTGCTTCTCAGGCACATGAGCAGGAAGCAGAATAGCTGGGTCTTGAACCATGCACTCTGGTATGGGATGCAGGCATCCTCAACTGCGACCTGCTACAGAGGTTACCGTTGAGGTAATACTTCTGTTAAACCTCTCTTATGGATGGCATTATGTCTTCTAGGTTTATTTACTTTATATTAACAATTTAAATGTCAATATTAAGTGGTAACTGGATTATGTACTGTGAAACCTAATATTGGGTTAACTGCATTCTGTTTTTGCAAGTGTGATTTAAAAGGTCGGCATGATAACCTTGCCTTAGTCCATGTATAAGATTTGTTCTAAAATTATTAATTTGGAATAATAACTGTATAACAAAAAAGGCATTAAAATTAAAATACAGAAATTTGTAGTTGATGACAGTACTGCTTTAATACAGTTTTTAATTGAATTCTTGTAGTTTCCCAAATTAGAATGTAACACTGCAAATACTGCTATATCAGTTCCCTGCTTAAAATTCTTAAGTGGCTCTACATAGTCTCTACCATAAAGTCTAATCTTTTAGCTTAAAAGAAAAGGCAGGTGTGGGCATTTATCTTAGCATTTAAATGTCCACATTCCACATTGGAATACTTTGGTTCAATCGCCAGCTCTGGCTCCTAATTCTAACTTCCTGCTAGTGCAGACCCTGGGAAGCCTCACTGATGGCTCAAGTAAGTAGGTTCCTGTCACCTAAATGGGAGACCTGGGTTGAGTTTATAGCTCCTGGCTTTGACTATGGCTCAGCCTTGGCCATTGTAGGCAGATGGGAGCTCTTTTTGTCTTTCTGCCATTTTAAATCTGATTTATACCAATAAACATTTATGCTTTCCTCTTAAGTTTGCTTTATTATTACCCTGTATGATTTTGTGCCGTTATCTGAGCTGTGTGCCATGGAACACTATTATTCCTCCTTCTACTTCACCAGTACTTGCTACTGGTCCAATTCTTAGCTCAAGCATTCTGAATTCTCAAGCTAAGGGGTGGCTAGGGGTGGTACAGGGAGTGGCAAATGGGGTGCCCTTTCTCTTATAAAAGACCTCTGAATATACTTCTGTGCCCATACTATAATTTCTAGTTCCTCATATGTTTCTGAGTTCCTAGTGTATTTCTTAAGATGGGTCTTTGTTCATGGATGCTTGTATGACTCAGCATCTAGCATCTATATGTGTGGCATATAATAGCCAATCAGGAAAAATTTATTGACTCAAACAAAGGTATTTCTTGCCCTAAGATTTTCCAGAGAGTTAGGTAGTCCTCCTATCTTGTTCTTTTCCAGTTCTGAGCTTCTCTCTCTTCTCCCATTCCAAATCCTGCATCTTGAATCTGGTAACAACAGCTTCAAAGTATCCCTTTCATTCCATGGCAATGCAGAAGACTTCCTTTCCTTCTTTTTCCCTTTCCCTCGCCTTCTTGTCTTTTGTCACACGTCTGATTATATGTATCCTGAAGAGATAACTTGTAACTATTGTTATTCTTTTGGAACTTGAAATTTTACTTTAGTGATCTTATCTATTGCTACCTCCTAATATTTCTGCTTTGATCTTTAAGTTGTGAAGTTTGTTAATTGTACTTAATTTGGTCCATTTTAGGCATTGTGTGGCTGCTCAATTAATGTGCCAACAATGGATGGAAGAAACATACCTATGTCAATAAATGATATTGTGAAACCTGGAATGAGAAGAAGAATTATTGGATACGGGCTGCCATTTCCAAAAAATCCAGACCAACGTGGTGATCTTCTAATAGAATTTGATGTGTCCTTCCCAGATACTATATCCTCATCATCCAAAGAAGTACTTAGGAAACATCTTCCTGCCTCATAGAATGAAGAACTTTGTTACCCATATTTTGATAAGGCACTGAAAATATAAAAGGACTGGCAGTTTACTGATGTAGATGTGAATTCTGTATAAAGATGTGCAAATTCTTTTGAGGGCTCATTAAGTTGCATGAACAGAGACGGGTCAAATAAATAGGGCAAAAGGGATTTTTACAGTTAGAGATGAAGAGAGAACCATTCACTGTATTTTATTTCATTTCTCCCAAATCAGAAATTTTTAGTCTTTTGCTTATATGTGAAGATGTTAGATATATTTCTAAAAAAAGTACTAGACTATCCAAGTACTTTATTCCTTATATCTTTAGATAATCAATATGATAGGCTCCCATTTATAATGGAAATTAAAATTCTTAGCTAAACAATACAATAGAAGGGATTAAAAACCCAGTCATTTGGACATGTGGTTGTTAAATTTAAACCACCTGAAATGCGGCTATAGGGCTGGTACTGGTAAAAGAATATCCTGATGCTTATGTTTCACCATTTGGTTTTTAAAGTATGCTATGCCATTTCCTCACGTAGTGGTCATGTTCTTAAGGTAGACCTTTTCTTCATACAAAGAAAATTAATGGCAATTTATCTCCTGTGGAAATCCCAATTGCCTGAATTACTGATATTTTAGAATAGACTCTTTATAAAATGCCAAATGTAATTTTATGCAAGTTAACTATATATCTTGAACTTAATAACGTATAGGCTCATTTTGTTGTCCACTAGTTTAAAATAATTTGTTTAATAATAAATGTGTTTTTGGAAGACATAATGTTTCTTGGAATTAATTTTCCAATTACACAGTCTTCTATAGCTTACTCATAATATGCTATATGTTCCTTATATAATTTCCCTAAAAAGAATAAACTTACCACTATGGTTTTAACCAAAATATGGGGAATATAAATACTAACTGCTGCTTATGGATAATGTTGCAACTACTTGTTATGCCTATAAATATTTTACTTTTTCATATGTATAGATTGCATTTCTTAGGTGTTTTAATTTTTTAAATATATTCACATTTAAAAAATATTTTGTTTTGTTTTCTGTCTATGACTGTATTGAGAATGATGTTTTGAAGCAAAGTTTTTGATTAAAAAATAATTTGGGGGATGATTCATACATTTGCATATATATAGATATAACAGGTCCTGTCACCTTAAGGTACAATATGAAATTTTCCTTTAGAAATCTAATATGAATCAGTTGTAACATCCAGATAGGAAGGTACTTCAAAGGGTTCATGAAAATGAATTAAAAAAATAATATGAGGGAAGATGTTTGGTCAACATGCCAGTTAGATTGCCTGCATCCCATATCAGAGTATATGTGTCTGATGCTCAATTCTGGTTGCCAATTCCAGCTTCTTGTTAATTCAGACTGTGGAAGGTAGCAAGTGATAGGTTATGTATTTAGGTCCCTGCCACCTATATGGGAGGCCCAATTTGAGTTCTCTGCTCCTGGCTTTGGCGTGACCCAGCCCACGCTATTATGGGTATTTGTGGAGTGAACCAGTAGATGGGAGATCTCTCTGCCTCTCAAGTAAATAAATAAATAATTTTTAAAATATAATGCTAATTACTCATGAACTCTTTGAAGATTTCTCATACTTTATAGCTTTATTGAAATAATGTTGTCTCAGGCCAAAACTGGGAGCCAGGAAGTCAATCCAGGTCTCCCATATGTGTGTACTTGAGCCATCACCTGCTGCCTTGAAGGGAGTGAGTGCATCCATGAAGCTGGAATCCAGAGCAGAGCTGGGACTGAATCCCAGGCACTCTGATATGTGGTTGTGGGCACCCTAATGGGTATCTTAAATGCTAAGCCAATAGTGTTTTTTACTTATCCATAGTAAAATAATAAACTTACATAGCTATACAAAAATAACAATATACTGATATATTTTGTCATAAGGAATATTGATATTTTTCTTGGCATGTGTTGAATTAAAAGTAGCAGTAGGGACTGGCGCTGTGGCGTAGCCAGTAAAACCACTGCCTGCAGTGCTGGCATCCCATATGGGCACTGGTTTGAGTCCTGGTTGCTCCACTTCTGATTCAGCTCTCTGCTATGGCTTGGGAAAGCAATAGAGGATGGCCCAAGTCCTTGAGCCCCTGTACTCACATGGGAGACACAGAAGAAGCTCCTGGCTCCTGGCTTCAGATTGGTGCAGCTCAGGCCATTGTGACTATCTGGGGAGTGAATCAGCAGATGGAAGATCTCTCTCTGTCTGTTTCTGCCTCTCTGTAACTCTGTCTTTCAAATAAATAAATAAATAAATAAATCTTTTTTAAAAAAAGTAGAAGTTAGGTTTTAAAGTTTTCTTATTTAAATTGTGAGGGTATTTTCCATTTTAAAATGTTCTCTTCAAATTCAATCAGATTCTTATGTAGCTGGAATAGTTTTGAAGCGCTATAGATTTCAGTAAGCTGATTGATAAAGTTGTTTATCTATCTTCAGTGCAAGAAAAGCCAAGAGTTGATTATGTTAAAAAGAACAGCTGTAGGGGCCAGAGTTGTGGCACAGCAGGTTAAGGCCTCATCTACAATGCAGACATAGAACACCAGTTCCAGTCCATGCTGCTCTACTTCCAGTCCAATTCCCTGCTAATGTGCCTGAGAAAGCAGCAGAAGATGGGCCAAATACTTAGGCCTCTATCACCCATGTGGGAGACCCCGGGTGGAATTCCAGGCCCCTGGCTGTTGCAGCCATTTGGGGAATGAACCAGCAGATGGAAGATCTCACCCACTGAATCTCCCTCTCTAACACTGCATTTCAAATAAATAATAAATAAATCTTAAAAAAAAAATGGGCTGGCATCCCATATGGGCACTGGTTCATGTCCTGGCTGCTCCACTCTCTGTTAATGGCCTGGGAAAAGCAGCAGAAGATGGCCCAAGAGCTTGGGTCCCTGCACCCATGTGGGAGGCCTGGAAGAAGTTATTGGATCTTGGCTTTAGCCTGGCCCATCCCTGGCCATTGAGGCCATCTGAGGAATAAACCAGTAGATGGGAGCTCTCTCTCTCCCTGTCTCTCCCTCTCTCTGTAACCCTGACTTTGAAGGAAATAAATACATCTTTGAAGAAACAAAAATTGTAAACCAAGGTTCTGGATAACCTGTCAGTAGAGGTGTTTTGTTTAGCCAGCTCAGTGCTTTAAAAACTTTAAAATTCAGGGCTGAGAATTTGGCACAGCAGTGCAGGTGCTTCTTGGGACATCTGCATCCCATGCTGGAGCACCTGGGTTCAGATTCCAGCTCTGCTTTCCCTTCCAGCTTCCTGCTAATGTGCAACCTGAGAGGCTGCAGTCATGACTCAAGCATTTGAGTTCCTGCCACCCATGTGAGAGATGGAGAGATAGCTGTGGGCTCCTGGCTTCAGTCTGGCCCATTCCTGGCTGTTGTAGGATTTGGGGAGTGAAATAGCACATGAAAAATGTCTGTCTGTCTCTTTCCCTCTCTGTCTCTCTGCGTTTCATAAATGAAAAGTAAGTTTAAAAAAAAAAGTTTAAAATCGGGATCTTTTTCGGCAGTGTGTGCTTTTGTGTCCCTTGACCTTCTGCTGTCGTTGTGTTACATAGAGCCGCTTCCACTTTGGCCTCTGTGAGCATCTGCATTTGTGACTCCAACTACAGCTCATCATTCCAGCCTATTGTTAGCCTGCAGTGTAGGCAAGGAGTTGAACATGCTCAAGGTTGTTTATATTTATAAAACTGTCATTTGAATATTTATGATGGGTAAAATGAAATTAATATATGTGATTGGACCCAGTAAATGGCTTAGAAGTGACTACTTGGGGCCGGCACTGTGGCGCAGCAGGTTTACAACCAGGCCTGCAGCGCTGGCATCCCATGTGGGCACCGGTTCTAGTCCTGGCTGCTCTACTGCCAATCCAGCTCTCTGCTGTGGCCTGGAATAGCAGTAGAAGATGGTCCAAGTCCTTGGGCCCCTGCATCCACATGGGAGACTCAGAGGAAGCTCCTGGCTGCTGGCTTCGGATCGGTGCAGCTCCGGCCATCACGGCCAATTGGGGAGTGAACCAACGGATAGAAGACCTCTCTCTCTCTCTCTCTCTCTCTCTCTCTTTTTCTCTGCCTCTCCTCTCTCTGTGTAACTTTGCCTTTCAAATAAATAAATAAATTTTTTTTAAAAAAGTGACTACTTTATCCCCATATTTTAAGCACAATTAATCTCACAGACATTAAGGCTGAAAATTATCCTTGATCCCGTAACAGTTTTTTTTTTTTTTCAATAATGTATAATGTACTGTATTGCTTCTATGTCTGGCTTCATATATGTTATCCCAGGACTTAGAATATACATCTGTTTTTTTTTTTTTAAAGATGTATTTATTGGTTTGGAAGAAGAGTTAAAGAGAGAGAAGGAGAGATAGATAATATCTTCCTTCTGCTGGTTCACTTGTCAAATGGCTGTAATCACCAGGGTTTGGCCAGGCTGAAGCCAGGAGCCAGGAGCTTCTACTGGGTCTCCCATGTGGGTGCGGGGGCCCCCAGGACTTGGGTCATCCTCTACTGGTTTCCCAGGCACATTAGCAGGAAGCTGGATAGGAATTAGAGCAGCTGGAACTTGAACTGGTGCCCATATGGGATGCTGGCACTTCAGGCTGTGGCTTAACCTGCTTTGCCACAGTACCAGCCCCACAACATACATCTTAATTTAGCAGGCTCAGCTTTTGAATTATATCAGCTTAATTTCATAAGACATAAAAATGATACTTCTATATAACTCCATTTTTCCCTTTTCTCCTCTTTGCAATATTTTTTTGAGAGTACATTTATTTTAGGTCTTTTGAACAACTTTTTAATTTCACGTAACAAATTTTAAATCATGTAAGGGAAGCACATTTGAAGTTGGTGAATTTAAGCTGTGCTTCTACCAAACTTTTATAAAAAAATCCTTGTACACTTTTAAATTGAAAGTACAATAGTAAATTGTAATTAAGATTACACTGGGGAAAATGGATGCTCACTTGACTCTCTTGTTTACTGATCTGACCCAAAGCTTAATGAAATTTCTATAAATACATAATAGCTTTAATCATTCTTAAATTATATTACCAAAATGATTAGTGTTATAAAAAATTATTCTCCAGAGACTCAAAGCTTTACATTTATTCAGTGTCTGAGAAAATACTACCTTCTATCAATAATAGTTTTCTAAAGAATTACACATTTCTGGGGCCGGCTCCGTGATGCTGTAGGTTAATTCTCTACCTGCGGCACCAGCATCCCATATGGGCGCCGGTTCTAGTCCCAGCTGCTCCTCTTCCAATCCAGCTCTCTGCTGTGGCCTGGGAAAGCAGTAGAAGATGGTCCAAGTGCTTGGGCCACTGCACCCACATGGGAGACTGGGAAGAGGCACCTGGCTCCTGGCTTCGGATTGGTGCAGCTGTGGCCGTTGGGGCCACCTTGGGAGTGAACCAACGGAGGGAAGATCTTTTTCTCTGTCTCTCCCTCTCACTGTCTATGACTCTACCTCACAAATAAATAAATATCTTTAAAAAAAAAGAATTACACATTTCTAACCTCTCATAGAACTTAATTATTTGGCAAGATCTAAAATTCTGTGCTAATTTAAACTGCCTATCAGCTCCAACAAACTAACCAAGAATTACATTAATAATTTACAAAGGTATTCTTAGGAATATACCTATTATAGGTTGAGATAAGTCTACTGGAATCAAAACTCCAAATTTAATGTTCATGTTCATATCATGGGCTCTTTCAAAACCACATTATTTTAGATAATTACAATAACCATTTTTCAGATTTTTAATTGTGTTTGATACCTGAATCATAAAAGTAGTCAAGTAATTCTTAAGTCCTTAAAATCAGTACAATTAAGAGCTTTAGTTGATTACAGAATAGATTAGGGTTTCTTAAAAGTCAAATTTGTTTAAGAAACAGTTTTATCATCATTAGATCATTAGTGTCCACTACTGGTCAGGTAAAATAGTATAAACATGATGCGGCACCAAAAATTGGTTTTAAAAAACTCTCAAATTTCTAACATA